GGGCCCGTATCCTCTTTCTTATCTAAGATGCCAAATTGTACTGGTCCGTTTTTGTGGCGCCAGTTCTTACAAGCAAGTTTCAACTTAATTTACACTTGCAAGAGAGAGAACTAAATTGTAAGTACTGGATATTTTTTTTACTGGGCGGGAGATTCCTCCCCCTGCGGACGGCTGTGTGTTCGTATCAATATGGGTTTCAGTCAAGGGCACACCTCAGCAGCCTCTTGGTCAGCAATTGGCGTATCTCTGTTTACAGCCATCCAGGGTCACAGCAGCCTGCATATCCAGGCCTTCTGTTCAAGGCTTTTACTGCTCTGTGTGCCCTGCATGCTCCAGGCAAGCACAGATGGATGTTACAGGGGGGTTCCTGTCTGGCTACACTGCCCCTCGCCCCAAATCTCCAAAGCCCACCCCGATTTCCCTGTCCAGTGCTGCTTCCAGTGGCCTGCTCTCCCCTACTCCTTCCCTCCCTCACCCCCACTCCCAACCTCCCCTAGCTACGCCTCTGCTGGGAGCTGGAACATCAGGCTGCAGGTTATGCCCAGGCCAGCCAAGGGCTTGGTGGACCCGGTGTCACACGGGCACTCCAGGAGCCCGGAACACCCCGGCAACCATGCTGAGGCCAGGTATTTTTTTCCTGCGGCCCGGTACCGGGCCGTGTCCCATAGTTTGGGAAATGCTGCCATATGTCTTAGGAACAAAAGTTGTGCTACATGTTGATCGAACACAAAGATAGGGTGACCAATAACTGTACACAGTGTTGTAAATGAGGCCACATCTTTGATTTATTATGATACCTGTATATATTCCACTGCATAGAAAAGATAGGAAGTATGGCAAGAGACCACTCTGGCTTAACCAGGAGATCTTGAATGATCTAAAAATCAAAAAGGAGTCCTATAAAAAGTGGAAACTAGGTCAAAGTACAAAGGATTAATATAAAAAAAAACACAAGTATGTAGGGGCAAATTTAGAAAGTAAAAGGCACAAAACTAGCTCAGTCTAGCTGGAGACAGAAAGGGTAACAAGAAGACATTCTGGCTTCGTCTATACTGCAGCATTTGCCGCAAGAGCCTATGCAAACGAAGTGTGGATTAGCCTTGTGCCGCGCTTCATTTGTATAATTTATGCAAGTTGTTTTTGCTCAAGGGGGTTTTGCGCAAAAACAAGCAGTGTGGACGGTATTTGCCCAAAGAGGCATAAGGATCTTGCTCATAACGGGGTTTTTGCGCAACGCCCCCCCCCTCCACACTGCTTGTTTTTGTGCAAAAACCCCTTGTGCAAAAATGGCTTGAATAAAATGATGCAAATGAAGTGCAGCAATATGCTAATCTGCGCATCATTTGCATAGGCTCTTGCGACAAACGCTGCAGTGTAGATGTAGTCTCTACAAATATTAGAAGCAAGAGGAAGACCAAGAACAAGGTAGACCCATTGCTCAGTGAAAAGGGAAAAACAGTAACAGAAAATGTTAAAATGTCAGAGGTGCTTAACAACATCTTTATTTCGGTTTTCACTATGAAGGTTGGTTGTGACTGGATGCTTAAAAACAGTGAATGCTAGAAAAAAGGAGATAGGTTCAGAAGTTAAAATAGGAAAAGAACAAGTTAAAATTACTTAGAAAAGATAGATGTCTTCAAGTCATTAGGACCTGATGAAGTGCATCCTAGAATATTCAAGGAGCTGATTGAGGAGGTATTGAGTCATTAGCTATCATCTTTGAAAAGTCAAGGAAGATGGGAGAGATTCCATAAGACTAGAACAGGGAAAATATAGTGCCCATCTTTAAAAAGAGAGCTAAGGACAACCCAGGAAACTACAGACCAGTCATCTTAACTTTCATGAAAGATAATGGAACAAACAATTAAAGAATCCATCAGCAAACATCTGGAGGATCATAAGGTGATAAGTAACAGTTCAGCATGGATTTGTAAAGAACAAATCATGTCAAACCAACCTGATCACTTTCTTTGATAGGATAACAAGCCTTGTGGATAAGGGAGAAGTGGTGGACGTGTTATACCTAGACTTTAGTGAAGGATTTGATACAGTCTTGCATGACCTTCTTATCAATAAACTAGGGAAATACAATATAGATGGGGCTAGTTTAAGGTGGGTGCATAACTGGCTGGATAACCATTCTCAGAGGGTAGCTATTAACGGTTCACAGTCATGCTGGAAGGGCATAAATAGTGGGTTTCTGCAGGGGTCTGTTTTGGGACTGATTCTGTTCAATATCTTCATCAATGATTTGGGGTTGGAAGTCTCGCTGGACCAACTGCTTCCCAGCACTGCGGGTGTGGGAGCCTCAGCATCCCCGGGGGAGGATGGGGAGGAGGTGGAGGGTGTGGAGGGAGAAGTTGGAGAGGGAGAAGGAGTGGAAGGAGGATCAGTAGCTGGGGAGGCAGCAGGCGCTGTAGCGGTAGGAGGCAGCACGCTCTGCACCATGGTCTGCAGGTGCTGGCAGATGGCAAGTCTTCTTGCACCCAGTGCTGGAGGGTGCAGTGCAGGGCTCGCAGTGCCCCCAGGTGCTGCTGTTGGTCTGCAGAGCCCTCGGGTGCGGGAGCATGTCCTGGGTAGTGTGGTGCGCCCTGCACGCACAGCTGATGCAGCTGTGAAGAAACGAGAAGTGGCCAGTTATCCCTGGGGACACAGTGGGTGAAGCCCAGCCCGCCTCTGCAAGGTGAGGATGACTGTTCCCTGCACCATCAGAGCCGCTGTGCTTGCACAGAGGCCATGTTCGGAATGTCCTGCTATCCCCAGAAGTGGGAGCTGCCCCGAGACCGCACCCATACCCTGTGCTGTGTATTGTTTGTGTGTGGGGGGGAGGGAGATGTCCCCTGCCTCTGTGTAGAGTGGCCCTGTGGAGGGAGGGCATCCTGCTGTGTCCCACCCCGGAGTCAGGAGAATGTCATGCCTCTTCACATGCATGTGTGGATAACAGGGTAAGGCCCTTGTGTGGCAGCCAGCTGGGGCCACATGCCCAGGGGTGGCATGGCACATGCTCGCACGTGCACAGTTTGCTGTTTGATCTGTGGACAGCAAGGCCCACACACGCAGTCCCTGATTTCCATCTCCCCCTCTCCCCCCACCCCTCCCGGCATAAGGGGACAGTGATGGCACTCACCTTTTGTTGCCTCCCTGGCCTTGGATGACACTAGCGACAGGTCTGCTGGGGTGGCTCGGGGGTCCTGGCTGCTCAGCACGCTCTGTCTGGTCTGTTGTGGCTCCTGGCTCTCCTCCTCCTCTCCTTGATGCCCTGGTCAGACCCTCTGCCCCAGGGTTGACAACCACCTGGGGGGCATGGACCGTCCCGCCCCCCAGGCTGCAAGGGCAGTTTGGTGTGTGTGCCCCTCGTTGGGAGCTGCCCCCTGTCCCTGGCATATGCCTGCCCAAGCTCTTTTATTTTCATCCGCTCCTGCTCCTGGGTACAGATGTGGCCTTTGCTGGCCATGCTGGCAGCTCCCCTGCCATAGACAACCACATTCGTCTGTCTAGTGCGGAGATCATGGACGTTGGAGGATTCCCCCCAAACCTAAATGAGGTCCATGATCTCCGCACTGGACCAGGAAGGCGCCTGCCTTTTCCGGCCCCTGGCAGGCTCCTGGGAGCTGGCAGACTGCTCCTGAGGAGCGGTGGAGGGCTGGCTGCTGGTGGCTTGCTGGCTCATATTGGGTCAGGGGCAAGACAGACTGTTTGTTGGGATGGCAGGCTTGGAGCTGGCACAGGCACTGTGGCCAGACTCTACCCTTTTAAGGCCTCCGGAGAGGGGGGGAAGGAGAGTAGTTTTCTTGGTTGTGGCCAGAGTGGTTGTGACCAAACTTATTTCGAAATAGCAGTTTTGAAATTGGCGTTATTCCTCGTGGAATGAGGTTTACCAATTTCGAAATAAGCCCTCCGCTATTTTGAATTAATTTCAAAATAGCAGTTGGCTTGTGTGGACCCTGGTAAAGTTATTTTGAAATAACTTTGCTGTGTAGACATACCCTAGGAGTGCATTTAAGCTCATTTTAATTGTGTTCCTGAATGACATTTTAAATTAGAATGGTTTGTTAAAGCTTGCTGGATTAGGCTCTATATTATGGAGCATCAAATGGACCACAAGAAACAGCAAAAAAAGAAATAATCCAACGTAAATCTTTTATTACTTAGTTTCCTGTCATTTTTAGCAAAGTAATCTAATCTCTCTCTCTATATATATATATATATATACAAATCGTTTTCCTGTGGGACGACAAAGTGACATCATCACAACATCATTCACAGGCTGGGCGGTAGGCATGGCCGGGTAAAGCCTCATCCCCAACCCCACCCCTTCTGTCCCAGGCCCTGTCCCTGGAGCCAAGCTTCACCCACTGCCAGACCGTCTCTCTTCTGCAGCCACATGGAAAGCCGGGCTGGCACGCCTTAGCCTGGCCTTCCCTGGATGCCATGGGCAGAGCTGGACCTGGCCTGGCGGCTGGGGTGGCAGGGGGGGGGGGGGGGGGGGGGGGGGGGAAAAAAGG